CGGGTTTAAGCTTGAATAAATTAAATTGCAACGAGCATTTCCCTGATCCAAGCATATTTTGAAGCGATGCAGCTCAAGGTTTCAGAAGGATGATTTTATGTCTTACTTTAATCGACGACAATAATATTGGTATGCTTGATTTAACCCGAATAATCTGAGTTGAATATTTTTTTTAGTCGGTTGCGAGAAATTGAGTAATTTTCGGAAAGCTGGTCGTAAAACTCTATCTTCACGGGTGAGAGCCAGAAAACCGACTCAGGTTTTTGGTGGAAGAAAGGTTTGCATGAATGCAATTTTTGTTGTTGTTGAAGTGGTTCATCACGTGGAAGTGATGAGTTTTTCAAAGGATTTTGAAGACAGGGATGAGGTTTCCGCCCGAATAACCATCATGCGGCAGAAAAATGGATGAAAAGGCGTTTTCGGGCCGAATCGATGCGGGCTAGTGGAGCGAGAGATCGACCATGGCGTGTCACGGGTTCTCATCACCTCAAATGTTGATATTGTAGAAAAGAAAAATACAGGATAAAAAATATGAAATCCTCACCACTTTCCTCATGCTGGTTCATTATGCGACCTGCCTTCCGCTCGTACCGTGTTTTTCCCCTGGAGCAACTTGAAAAATGAACCATTTATTTATCCCGACATTTTTCATATCCATCTGGGAACGTCCGTGTAAATCGAAAAGTGCGACAAAACAATGCAAAACTGAATTTTTAAAAATTACGAGCTGTTCAATTTTTCTTTGGAAAGTTTCCTATTTTTTATGACAGACTAAGTTCATTTATAAAAAAATGTCGGTCTTCAGTTATTCGAGGAAAACGTTTTATGCTTAATTTACTTCGACTAGTGGAAAATCATTCCAAATAAGCAAGAATCGTGATATTTTCTGCATACAGTAAATTCTCGTTACAGTGAGCTCCCTGCTGGGACCTGATAAAAATTCTTTATGCCGAAAAATTCGTTTTATTAATATTCTCGATTTTTAACACATTCCAGGCCTAAATTTATTAGTGAGAACTTTCTAATAAAAACTGTAATGCGCTTGTTTCTCGATTCAAGGTTGAAAATGCGTAATTCGTAAATATTATCTTTAATTTCTTCAAATATATTATTCAATTTCTGAAGAATACTGTACATCCGATGAATTGACCAATAACAACTGTGAACTTTTATACTTCAGGTTAGTAAATATATTGCCATTCTTCGGGATGCATTTTCAGCGGTGGCAAAAATTGAATTTTTAAATTTGAACGCGTATAAAATTGTACAATTGAGTACAACAGGGAAAAAATATTTTGAATTGCATACAACTTAATCTAAACCGTATGCTGCGGATCAAATTCCGAAAGAAGAATTTTGATTGTTTGTGTATTCGTCAAATCAGACTTTCAGCGGAGCAGCTTCGATACATGTACAGAACTGTAGAAATTAAATTCATCCCTGGCATTGTTTACAATTCTGAATAACATAACGTAAGAAACGCAATGCTCCTTGGATTCACAAATGAGGACCATGCCAATATATTTTCGCGTAACCAATCGATGCCAGAAAATGTTCGGAGATATTGAAGGAACAGTTACGCATCTCCACGTCGGCGATGCTTTCTTAGATGACGTGAGACGTTTTTCCCTTTCTATCTGAAATTTCAAGATATTTATCTGTTGTATCCATCAACTCCGAAGAAACACTCCTGTGCCTTGTGTCTGTTTTGACGGCAGCAACCCAGAACGGGTGAGGGAAAAATCAGGATCTTTTTCAGCCATTTTCAACAGTCGAATCGCTTTTTTGGGAACATATTACGAAGGATGATTCAAAAATTGTGTCAGTACCTTGTTGTCCAAGTTTTTTGAGTGCCAACATTTCTTCGCGAAAATTCTCAAAACAATTTTGGAAACAGTGAAAAAAATTAAAGGAAGTCTCTGTTCATTCATATATTTTTAAAGCATAATTTGGAGGAGTTCTTTTCGCGAATCGGCAGACTAGAAAAATCTTTATATTCAGCATTGGGGAAAAACTTGATAAATGTTTCACTTTTCGTTGGAAAACGTTGTCGGATCCGAGACCTTCTTCTTACCAATATTCTTCAGATTTTTGGGTGCACTTGTAATGTTCAAAATTGTGAAGTGGATCCTTATCTTCTCACAAAAAAGTTGAAAATGGTCATGAAGAGATCAATCTCAGGTACATTACGGAATAAAAAATATTTCCATCAATTCTGCCGCATAAATCCCGAAAGACTCCAACAATAGAACAAAATAAGGCAGACAATTTCTGATCCAAATCTTCCATTCCTGGTGTACCTCTATAGCTCGATGATATTTTTCTTTGAATTAAAAACAATCATGAATTATAAAAATCTGAAGAATGTTCTCGAATCTCTCTCTCTCGAAATTTTTGGTTTGAATGCATTGAATGTTAGAATGAACACAAGCGTTTCGGTTATTCATTTATTAATTTTTTTTTCTTTAGCGAAATGTGAATGAAACGCATATTTTCAAGCTGAAATATTCTGCTTCGTCTCTCATGCATTGTATCGCCGAAATGTCCTTGGGAAAGAAGGAAACCGTATCTTTGACTCGCGAGTTTCCCTTGTCATTAAACAAAAGTGAGACGAAATCCAAGCAATGAATGCTGCTTTGTGGAACTCTGGGTCGTTGCCAAAACATTTTTTTTTTCCCATTCCGTCTTCGAGCCAACAATTGTGCAAAAATCCCGCACTGATTTCCGTACCAGCAACCGTGAGTATACGTATCAAGAACCCGGGGGAATTTTAGTCATGATCATTCCCGAGGTGCCTTTCGCACAAACTGGTGCAATTCACACCAAATGCTGCAGTAAAATATTCCCCCGTTTTTTAACCTCGTATTTTAGAAGCCCCGAAATAAGTTCAAAACTACGGCAGTACTGGTGGGAAGTAAAGGATTTTCGAAATTTGATTTCAAATCCACTTATTCTTGCCGGAATTCATGTGAGGGGTCCTGAAAGCAAAACCCTCGTCTCTCTCTCTCAGCATCCTGAAATTCACGGGTCAGATGGGCACGGATTCCATCAAAAATACTTTCAATTTCTTACCCACTAACGATTTTCATTTCGGTGACTGATGAATTGCATCAAGTCTTAAAATGATCTATACCGGAAACATATATCAACATGTTTCATTCACCACGCTAAAGGGGATTAATAATTTATTGCGAGGAAAATGTTTTAAAGGAAAATTTTCTAGAATTGATTTTTCTTTCGTCCCGAAACTTAACGCAAAATTTTTTTATTGTCTTCGAATTTGTAATATATTTAAAATGGCGTTTTAAATTCAGGATTTATTGCATATACAGTATCTGCGTAAAATTTAGCATTCGAGACTCCGAAACGAAAGTTGTTCATAATTTCGGTCAGTTGGAGTAATGCTAGATATTGTTCGTCTATTTTTAATTTATGCGTGAAGATACTACGAGTACAGCAGTTCGTATTGGAATAATGGAGAGAGAAATATTTCGATGTCAATGTTCACTCGTTGAGAAAAGGGGGAATCTTTTACATATTCCTGATTCGTGAGTTTTAAAACAGTACTTTGCAGGTGGTTCCGCATATTTAAAATACTGTAAAAAGAACGAATAACCCTGACAATGTCCGAGGCAGAATAATTATGTTCAAGGAAAAAAACATTCGTATTTTGGAACTTTTCAATTTAATAATGACGAATGACGGGGCGGTTTTACTAGAATGAAAAATCTTTAGATAGGATGATTCTGCCGCAGAATCTGAGACGCCCAACAAATACTGTACTTCATTTCCAGCTACTGCCAAAATTTTTGAACCATCCCTCAGAGCACTGAAATATGTCATGATGGATGACTTCGAAAAACTTTCGCATGAGGAAAATCGTGACGATTTCGCAAGAGAAAAGAGTTGACTTCTTCGAGAATATTTCCCTTCGCGCGCGGGCCAGGAAATCTCGTCTCCAGAACAACAAGAAAATGAATCTGAGAATTCTCTCATATTTGGGGAGCTGTCCAGAAAGAAGGGTGCTCAAGACTGATACCCCCCTGAAAGAAAAACAAACATTCTTTTGTTTCTTTTTCATCAATTAACGAGAAACACACAAAAGAAATGGGGCATCTGTGGGACGATGAACGAATGGATGTTCCAGTGAATCTCATGGTTTCATTCGCAGAGACATCTTTGGATGTACGAAAATATTGATAAAAATTACTCAAGTGAATAAAAATGTGAACAAGACTGTTTCCCCAGAGGGAGAATCAGAAATATCTTTCTATTTTTTTTCTTTTTATTCGAAAATTTCCGAAAAATACGAAGCACACTTAGAAAAAAGAAAACTTAAGAGAAAGGAATGAATCCTTATGTTGATCTTGGGGTTTCATTTGTTAGTATTACTTGCAGATTGCGAAGTACAAGCGAAACTTTTACAGATATTCAAGGAGTTGCCAGGGATCTTAATCTTATTCTTTTTTCTTTTAAATCAAGACGTACACAAATAAAAAGATGGAGAAACAGATAATAGTTTCAAATGTTCTCACGGTAAAAGTAACACGTACAGTGCTTGAAGTACCGTAGTTGCTATAGATGACATATTTACTTTCGATTTTTCTGAGCAAAAAATAAATATACTGTCCAATAAAATAACACATTGCATCTCAAAAGAAACGAAGAATAAATCGATTACTATCCATTCAGATTACATTCCATTCATTCGTCCTTTCTTGACCAAGAAATAAGTAATAAATAATCTCGAAAACATGGAGAAAGAAATGACTATACTGAGGTTAAATTTGCGATTTCGTTCGCCAGGAAATTTGGCAGATTTTGAATGCCACTGGTAAAACTTAAACATGAATACAATGCATGAAAGGGTCGCCAAAAGATATGGTTTTTTCTATTTTTTCCCCCTTTTTCTGAACGAGAAATAAGCCCCAAAACAAAAAGAAACAAAAAAGCATTAGGGCATCCACAGAAAATGAGGGAGAATATAATGACTGCTTCAGTTGATCTCATGGTTTCATTGGCCGGAACCTTTCGCAGATCCAGGACGCGACCGGAAACACTTGGCAGTGGATTTACTTCGTGTCCATGGTAATCCTGGGGGCGTTTTTCGTTATGAACCTTATTCTCGGTGTCCTCAGTGGGTGAGTGGCCAGTGTTTCCTCCACTCGTTGTCAGTCGATATGATCCATAGCCTGTCGTCGGCGTCGTTCGTCGTCGTCATCGTCGTCATGCCTCCTCCAGTGTGTCAGCTATTCCTTTTTTTTTGAAAGAGAAAGAGAGAGAGAAAGAAAATTAAGTGTATATCCATCCGAGAATCCTTTTTTCACTTTTTTTAGATACATTTCCCCAAAATCACTGCAGTATTAGTTTTTGTTGTTGTTTTGCTCCACGCTCCTTTTTCTCTATAGAGTCTAGATGCTACACATTTTTGCGATTCATGCTCACAGCTTAGGAATAGTTTCAGCTTTCTTCAGATAACGTCTAGCCAGCACATTTTCGAGTATGTTTAGTAAAGCCAAAAGCCTTGATTTCCGACCAAAGGAATCACACATCTTCCAAAAATAGTAAATGAAGTACAACTCCGATTAACCGGGCCAAGTATCCCTGCCATCTATCCCTTACACTGAGCTTACATCCCCATTTTTATCAAATATTGACGATATAGCCCGTTGATTTCTAACGATATCAAGAGATATAAATGCCAATCTCAATCCGAAATTAAATCTAGATGGGATTAATTGACCAGAGTGAAATTAAATGGCTGGAATCAGATGTTTAGAAATTAATAAAGCCTCGTTCTAATTGCTTCGGAATTCGGAAGTTTGTCTCTCGAATGATTGAAGTTATGAAGGATAAAAATAATTTTTCCATGGCCATTTTTTGTGTGGAAGTATTAAACATCCACAAACTGGGACATTTGATGAGATGAATCATTTGAAAATATTGAAATCTCCGTAAATGCAGTGAACATGTGATTAATTATTTAAAAACCGAATTCACGTGCCCAGAAAATTAATTTTCAAGAAACAATACGATGTCATTGACCATTCGAAAAAGGCAAAATACGCGAAGCTGAATGGAAAATATTATCTGGAAGCAATTATTTGATCATTATGCGTTAAAAAATATTTTAGTGCATAGAATATTTCGAATGCTCGGATGATCGGAGTTGTTTGTCTTGAAAGAAAATAGTTTTTCTCTCTCTGGTTAGTTCCGACAGTCTATGAGTCATGTTCGGATGTAACAGCTATGGTATTTCTTTGCTAAATTTACTCAATAACGAATGATTTGACCAACGACTTACTCGTTGTGCATTCGAGAGGTAGGAAGACTAACAGCAACAGAGATTTGCTTTGAACCTTAGATGAAATATAGGTTGCATGGTTGCTGTTGCTCTTAGCGCAGACTAAAGCACTCGTTTCTCAAGCTTTCCAGGCTTTCCAAATTGAATTAATGATGGCATAACGGACTGCTTCATTACTTTTTTTTCATTTTATTTTGTTGAGGAGAAGTGAGTGATCCAGATGTGGCCATGGAACCGAGGTTTCGAATGGAAATCCCCAGCTACTTCAGTAAGACCCTGTGCTGAATAATCTGCAAGAACTCGCGTTGTTCCATTCCCCGGAGGAAGGGTTTCTATTCTTTTGTTTTGCTGATTCATTCAGTTGAAGAGACCCCAGCCCACTGATCCCGAAATTGCTGGCATGGGACCCACTCGTTTCGAAATAGAATCTTCAACAGTCCGGGAAGTTCACAAGTGTCATCCAAGTATTCTAAGAGGCCCAAAAGGGCCTGATTGGCTTCCAAAATCCGCCAATTCATTTCATTCCTTTCTCATTTTGCGCACAGTATAGGGAACATTTTACAACTTTCGAATTTGGGAATTTTCCGGTGGTATTTCATTTCTTGATAGACTTTGAAGCCGAGTAAACTCGAGGAATCTTTTTATCGCTGATTTTCTCAGAAGTTCCGTGATATTTTGTAGTTTCAACAGAAAGCAAACTCAATGCTCTAATTCTTTTTTTTCTCTTTAAATATACACTATATTTGCAGCCTTTTATCCAAGGTTTAGATGACAGGTGAATTATTATGAATTTCGAATCAAAATCCAAGAACAAACGCATTTCCAATAAAACACGTTGAGTAAATGTTGATTCGAAAGAATAATGAAGAAAATGCATTCAAATTTCGCGCGGAATAAAACAAACTTGTTCGCCGACCGTTTGCAAATAAATTCCCTGAGCAACGTTTTCGTTTGGCAGATGATTGCAATTTTATAGGAAAAATAAATCGAGCGAGGAAATCAGCAAAGAACGGCTCCGTGATCAAAACTGCGACGGGGAGGAAAGATTGAAATAATTTAATCCATCTTTTCATAATTCAGGAATGTGGGTTTCTGAGATTTAAAAGATTTATTCGTGACCTGAGGATAAAAAAAAAGCTTGTGTGAAAGACATGAGCCCTCTTATCCAACTTAATATGGTGTAATCCTGTTAAGACCAGCTTTTTCTGGTCGAACAATGTTCTTCATAATTTTGAGTGGGTTTTCTTTTTCTCACATTTTTACTCTCTGCATAAAAACGATCGTTTGCAACACGCCAAGGGGATCAGAACACAGATATTTTTTCCCACCCAGCACCTGCGGCTTTCAAAATCTCTTTTACTAACAAGAAACAATGCTTCTTTTGGGATCATCTTGGTTCTGAGAGTACATCACTCATCATGATCTCATCAGCACACGGCTCCCATCTTGGGATTAAGAATGTGCTGTCACGCAACGGGAGTTTCCCCCTTGGGTTTGAAAGCAAAGAAGAAACCAGAACCCGTCAAACCCATTCCCGTATATGGATCCCTTGTTAAAGGACTCCATGGCACCCAGTATTTATTGCTGTAAAACGTGTTTTTTGCAGTACTAGCACCGGTAAACAAAGGCGTGTTTTTTTTTCTTCTTCAAAAAATTTAGTCAGTTTCAGCTTCAGGGGAATTTCCGAGGTTCATTTTCTCCGGCGCTGTTTTTGCTTCTTTCTATTTCTGCATTTTGGAAGAATTTTTCTGGATGTAAACGAACATAAATCCACGGAATTAATTTAAAAGAAAGGGGAGAGTCTTCGATTACTTTTGGTGTACTGATGACACATTCAACGAAATCTTTATGCAAAAGAACGCCCTTTTTAAATTTAAAAAAAAAATGCCTGGAGGATGCATAGATACAGTATTATAAAAGGATCTCTGTGTGTGGAGATGAATGTTCAGTTGCGGCGAATTTTGTTTTCCTTCGGCATTTTCTCTGTTGCGGGATTATCTTTTTTTTTTTGGGACAGAAATGAGATTTCCCTGGGCGTTGAGGCTAGGTCATCTAAAATTAACCCCCTTTCCTTTTACAGTGATTTACGACACGCGTCTGGTGCAGTTCCTTGAACCCGTTGGACAAAGTGAGGTATTGCCGGAATTCGGCGAACCCGGCCCATAAATACAGTAACAGGGAAGGGTTCTGGGTCCCATAATTTGCACGGAATCCGCGCGCGGAAACCAGATGCTCGTCACGACTTGTCCGAATGTTTGTTGTTTTTAGCAGCAAAATGCGTCGGTAAAATGTAACTGAATCTTTGTTGATTTTTCCCCACGAGTGAGAAAGAGGATGGTCAAAAATTTTGCGGAAGATGTGCTTAAGATTCGGTTGTTGTCGGGCAAGAAAAACTTGAAAATTTGCTCGCTTTTTTTCTTCTTCTTCAAGGTTTGTGTATGTTGCCTGCTTGCATGTTTTGTTTTTTTTGCTCGTCGCTCGCTAGCATGGTAATTTTTTGGCTTGCGAACTCCGACGATCTCGACGCCAAGTTTTGGGGAAATTGGTTCCTTATCGGGTGTATATAGAGAACCAGTCGATTTTTTAAACCGTACATTTTTTTTCACGCTTGTTAATGCTATTATTTCTCTCTTTTCTGCCTGGATTCTGCTCAATTCGGAAGAGAGTTTTCCAAAGAGAGAGAAAAGGCGAGAGCCAAGCGGGACTTTCAAGAGTTCCGTGAGAGGCAGATGATTGAGGAGGACCTGAAGGGTTATCTCGACTGGATTACCCAGGCTGAAGATATCGACCCCGAGGAACGTGCTGACCAAGGTGAGACATTATTATCCTTTTTTCATTTCTGAAGAAAATGTTTTTGACAGTCGCGAAAGTTTGCATCGAACGCGACCAGCACATACCGTGTGTGCCAAACTGCGCGCGAGGGAAAACTGAGCGCCCGTCAAAACTGAGCGTTTCAGCTGATATTTTAAAAGTTGCCTGCTGAAGATACACAAGGTTTCTTTCGGTGTCATGTAAATTTAATCAAATGAATTCGTTCAAATCAATTTTCCAACATTATTAGCTGGAGAGAACAATTATTCGTTGTGACACTAGACTAGACTCACTAAAAATTGTTGAGGAGCCCACTTTACAATATTTGTTTCGCCGGAACATCTGCCGAAATACAATTTCTTGATTGATCACCGAAAACATGGCTTATGTTATAAAAAAAAGAATCAGAAAAGCTTGGATAGCTTGAAATACACCTACACGAGTTCTTGTCGATTCTTCGCTGTAATTTCATCCTCATTTTCAACTCAATCAAGCCAACTTTTCAATAATCATATTTGTGCGTCCGTGGATCCCCAGTGAATTTCATGAGCAGCTCTCAGGGATCCGCGGAGCACAGATCAAGATCCTTTGCCTCATCAATGGAGACTTTCTGCACAAAGAAATATTCACGTCATCATATTATTTTCGGCAATTTAATTCAGGAAAAATGATTGTCTGCTTGCACTATTTTTTTTTATAAAGGATAAGCGACAGATACAATCTGAATGTGGGTGGCACAAAAATTTCCAACAACGCCTTTTTATTCAAACCCTGCAAAACTGGTCAACATATATGATCGGCCTATATATAGGTAGTCGCTTAAATAAGGCATTTCTGCGGAAAGACGCTTATCACGACAGTATGAAATTGAAAAAGCACGTATTGCTGAGTGACATGACAAGAATCAACCAGCGATTCTTATGCATTCAATCAGAATCAAAGGACTCAGTCCTTTTCTCGCATGCAGACCAAGTTGTCAATATTTTATGGCGCCCTTGTCCCGTGGTGGACCTTGAACTCGGGATCGATTAAACGCTGTCGGACATCGGGTTCGGGAAATAAAAGATGGGGATGGGTTCGAATCGATGCTCGTGTGGAATCAAAGGGGTTCGATAAGCAGGGTCTTCACTCATGACCTTGTTTCTTGCAGATCAAATCGAAATGGAGGCATCGACCCGGGAAGAATACGGCGAGAACTACTCCGAGTCGTGGCTCACCAAGCGGAAAAAGGAGTATGACAGGTAGAGAACTTCATTCCGTAATAACACGCCTACAAAAAAGTAATAAATATGTTGAGCAAAAAACAAAAAAAAAAGAATTCGCTATAGGAAACGACGGTGAAATTGCGTTCGATTTTCCCCGCAGAATAAGTCGACGGATGAGGCGAAATTTCCGCACGGCTGTGAAATCCCAGGCATTTTATTGGCTCATCATCGTGCTCGTGTTCCTCAATACTGTTGTGCTCGCTTCCGAGCATTACCCACAACCAATTTGGCTGGACCAATTTCAAGGTTTGAGTTTCCATGAAAATCGAAAAATTAATTCCGGAGTTGCAATGCACTAAAGTACAGTATTTTATTTTTATTTATTTTTTTCAGACTTGACCAATTTGATATTTGTGGTGCTTTTTACGCTGGAGATGCTCATCAAAATGTACAGCTTGGGGTTTCAAGTGAGTCACTGGTTTTTTTTTGCATTCAAAGGATATTGTATCTAAATTAGAATTTTTCTAGAGAAAGTCGATATCTTCAATATTCGTAGCGATGCAATATTTATAAATTTGAGGCCGTCTTGGAAAAAATATTCTGTTTTCATCTTGAGCGACATTATTTTCTATATTTACGCAGAATCTAAGGTATCTAAGGATTTTGAAATGTTTGGTACCACTCAAAAATATGCAAGTTTGATTGATCAGAGGCCACTGGGATGCTTGAAAAAATCACTCGAATTTCATTCAACTCTGTTATATGTTTGTGTGCTTTTCAAAAACAGTTATCCAAAAGTTCAACTCTCTTGAAAATGTAAAAATGTTGATACACATGCATCATCAATGACGATGGAATGTACATGAATTTTCCAGTAATGGGATGCTTGAAAATGTAATCAATGGTGTAAAAAAAGGGGGGGGACAACTTTCGATTTATATCCTTCGGTCTCATATTTTTACTCTTTGAAACAAGAAACAAAGAGAGCATGCTTTGTAAAAAAAAAATGCAATCCTCTCGTGTAAACTTTGCTTGAAGAATTCCCTCCTTCTCTTACAGTATTTTTGACGTAAAAGTAGAAATAAAATACCTTTTTCGTGAATTTTGTTCGAACGATGTTCCCCTGTTTTTTTTAGGGTTTTGGCATGAAAGTCTACGTCTTCACGCTTCAAAAAAAAAAAAACCTTTTCGTAACTCGAGAAACTCAACAAGAATTCTTCAATTTTTTCTAGGGATATTTTGTGTCGTTGTTCAATCGGTTCGATTGTTTCGTGGTGATCGCCAGTATCCTGGAGATTGTGCTCAATTTCACGGATCTTCTTCCGCCTCTTGGCTTGTCCGTCCTGCGATGCGTTCGCTTGCTGCGTGTTTTCAAAGTTACCAGGTCAGAAATGTTGAAATCTTTTCATCGATTCGTTCTTCAATAATTTTTAAAATTTGAACCGACTATACGACGTTCTTGGAAGACACACAGTCTAATCGCGGGAGCCTTTTTTATTGTGTCAATTGGTCAAGAAAGTTCCACCTTCGGGAGCAATGAATTTATGGTGCGTTTATTGGAAATACTTTGAGAAAACCGTGTTTTTCAAAATTTCTTCATCACTTGATTATAAAGACACCTCATCAAAATTACCGGAGGAGTGAGTAATAAATTTATAAATACAGTCGGTATTTCTGGCTGAGTTGGGGATAAAAACTGTTCGTCAGTACAATTCCTTGAAATAAAGTTATTTGGGCCCCAAAGAATGTGTTTAAGATAGAATTTTTTCAAACCACTGTAAGATTAACGAGAAAACTCGAGGCGAGTCTCTGCATGTTCGTCTGCTAAAAAATGTTTATATTGGCAACTTATTTGCTCAGTAATTCACTCTTTGGGACCAACTGCACAGTCAGCATCAGTGATTCAATGATTTCCAAAATCAGATTTTTTTTTTTTACTTCGTGTATCACAAAAAGGATAAAACTGCGACGTTCGCGCTGAGGGGATTTGTTAAATATCGTACTGTACAGTAAAATAGCGGTATACTGAAAATGTTTAGATCGGGAAAAAGCTTTGTTATAACGATGAAGTCTTTATATACAGCGATCTGAATCACACTATTGCTTTTGGGCTGGGGCGTGAAAAACGCATTCATTGTCAACAATACTCATGTATAACGAGATTCGTTGTATCGAGATTCTACTTAATTTGATACATTTTCTAAATTTCGGCTTTTCGATGAGGTTGGAGACTTTGAATTTGTTAAAATTTTATAAATCATGTAAAAGTGGCGAATGAAGTTATTTCCTTTCAGCAGTGATGGGTTGACGGTAGACTCGTCCCCGAAATTTCTTAATTTTTGCCTGGGTGAGCGAAAATTGACAAAATCCTCAACAACAACAAAAAGATTAAATTGTGCCATGGCCTTCTTAAATTGTTTAAAATAACCAAAAACGATTTTAACAAGAGAAGCACCGTGTTGCTCATATCAGGCCCATTATTCAGTTGTGCACTTAAAATTATGATTCCATGCCGTGTTTTCCGGCTAATTTGATAAATTGAAACCAAACATTCGTCATTTATTCATTTTTCTTTCATAAATACCCATGGGGATTCGTGAACGGGGGGCCATGTTGAATAGGTATTGGAAAAGCATGGGTAACCTGATCAGGTCCCTGGTGAATTCTATCAAATCCATCGTGGCCCTGATCGCGCTGTTGTTCCTGCTGATCTTCGTTTTCGGCCTCCTGGGCATGCAGATTTTTGGCGGGAAAATGGAGGAACGGAGCAATTTCGATAGCTTTTCACAGTCCATGATCACTGTGTTCCAGGTGATTCGAGGAGCTTAAATAAATCTGGCTCTCTATGGTGATGGGCTTCACTTTTTGCCAAACTATTTTCCGGCTTTTTCTTGTCGGTCCGATGTGGGTTTTGGCCTTTCTTGCGATGCATCATCGATTTCCATAATTTTCAGGAAATTCAATTTGTTGAAATTAGTGCGTTCTAAGCTTCTTTTAACCTTCGGCGAAGCTTTTTGAGGAATATTCTTGTTGGGTTTTTTACTTGCTCTTTCACGATTTTCATGAATATCCAGAAATGCTGCGATCGAACCCCTTCTTAAATTTGGTTTTATTGATTTCGAATTCCAGTTTTCGTTATTTTCGAAAAAAATGCGTTCAGTGAGCAACACTGTGGTATCGAAATATGAATTTCCCTTTAAAATGAGGTCATGTCGGAAAAGGGAAAAATCTGTGCTTAAATCTCTCTCAATAAATTTGAGATTTTTTTGCATTTTATGACATCTAAGCTTGTTTGTGGAATTTACTTTTTTCCCCGCTAAATCCTGTGACCTGAGCGATTTCATTAGGAATTCTTCAAGCATTTGGGAACTACAGTATATTGGTCATCATCAGGTGCGGATGATTTCCGGAGTCATGAGTTGTGCAAATCTTCTTTCCGGCGATGTTCCCTATGATATTTTCGTTTTTAATAGTTGATCCACTTCCTCATTGTCAAGCTTGGATGTATATTATATCTCTTGAATTTATATGAAAATAATATAATATATAAAAACTTTTTCTGGGGATTTATTCGAATGCTTCTGGAACTATTGGGCATCAGGTGCGGAGGGTTTCTGAGGTCAAAAGTTGTTGTGGTAAATGCTTTTTTTTTTGGGCGGGGCTTCTTGTGATATTTTCTTCATTAAATGTTTTTTCTCTGGGATTTTTTTTCTTTGATTCCAATTTTTTTCTTTTTGGGCCGGGATTGTCGGTGCAGGTATTGGCGGTCCTTGTCGAACCTGGTGGCGTCGTTGCTCAATTCCATCCAATCCATTGCTTCCCTGATCCTGCTTCTGTTCCTCTTCATAATAATTTTTGCCTTGCTCGGCATGCAAGTTTTCGGAGGGAAATTCAACTTCGAAAGCGAGGAGAAGCCTCGTTCGAATTTTGATACTTTTTGGCAAGGGCTTCTAACCGTCTTCCAGGTATACATGTTATTCGAATTTATCTGATTACTTGTACTCACTCAAATTCAATGCTGGAAAATTTAGCTTTATATTTAGTCCGCTTCGAGTGCATTGATTTGATACCCCGAACTTTGAAGCGTGTCGAAAATTAAAGACGAGTATGTGAATAAGAAAGAACTGTTTATGATTCAAGTTGAAATGTAATTTGGATCGTAAAGCATACCTTGAGAATCTACGATTTATTTAAATCAAGTGTACAGACAATAGATTTATTTGAAAGAAAAAGTGTGTCTTTAATTTTATACCGTATATAAGTGACAGTTAACTATCTCGTAAAGGGATTTTGTTATTAACACAGTTTTTCATATAGAGAAATTTGTTTCCTATTTTGAGGAACGTCTTTGAGGGATTTATAAAAAAATGAATGAAAAAATTTACTATAATTAGAAGAATGAATGAATGTTTGCTTTTAAGAATTTGAAGTGTTTTGGCATTGAGGAATTGAGGAAAAGTTAAAAGAAAGTTTCACTTTCTTCCGTTTGATCAGATTGTAATAAATTGCCTCATTTTTTTTTTTCTCTGGTGCCTCCGCTGCTTCTTCTCTTTCTTCTTCTTCTGTAGCTTCAGATTTGCTTACTTCCTTTACCTTATGTTGTAGGGAAGAGCTTTCGCTTTTTAAATGCTGTGTATCAATAAATCAGCATCGAATTCAATGATTAAAGTGATTTGTTTCTGCCAGATATTAACTGGTGAAGATTGGAACGCCGTGATGTATGATGGAATTCGTGCCTATGGTGGAGTCGCTGGCATCGGAGCTTTGGCGTCGATTTACTTCATCATCCTTTTCATTTGCGGAAATTGTGAGTGAAAAAAAGAATTTAAAATATCTGCTCGAACTTTAAAATTGTAATAATTTTGGAGCCTTGTAAAAGTGGCGTCCAGAATATATTCTTCTTCATCGTGGAAATAGAGAAGCAAGCAGAATTTTTTGTTAGAAGCTTATTCCAGACAGTCACTCTTCAAAATGCGTATATTTTAATGTTCATTAATTTCAGGTTTGAATGTTTAACGAGGATGTGATGCTTATGAAAGCATGATACTTTTTCTTATCGGACCGGCAGAATATTCGTGGAAAATGTAACGAATACTGTTTTTCGCAGAACTGCGAGTGCTGAATTTTAAAAATACTCTATTGAAATTCCGGCCTTCAAACTTTAACCTTTCTTTCGCGTCATATTTTTTTTCAAGTGCCGTAAATTTATTTTAAAATTGTTTTTGACGAAAAATGTAGATATCCTGCTCAATGTTTTCTTGGCCATCGCCGTGGATAACTTGGCCGACGCCGAGGACATGACAGCGATTGAGAAAGAAGAGGAAGAGGCGGCTGCAGCTGCTGCGGCCGCCCAAAAGGAAGTAGAGGACGCCGCGGCGGCGGCAGCAGCGGACGGCGAAGGTGAAGGAGAATTCGGCGACGATCAACGAAGAAAATCCGACGCCAGTCACATGAACCACGTCGGCAGTAATCACCGGTAAGTGACTAAGAAACTCTACTAATGATTTATTTTTTAGTAAAGCACTGTAATTCGATTTTCTTCAAAAGTGCGTCAGATACTGTAGTACATACTGACGATTAGCTGCAAACCAATTTGACAAACTAGGCTGTATATTCCGGAAAACTGCGAACAAGTTACTATGAATATATAATCGGAAGTGACGCTATATAAAATCAGCATATAATCATATATAATCTATATAATCAGCATGGTACGCGGTGGGATTTAGATTGTGTCTAGTTTTAAAAATTTACATTTGTTTTTAAAGTCTCTTTCAAGTCTGAATAGATTCGATCCCATACCGATTTAATTTTGTACAGTTGAACCTTTCTGAAGCCGAATTTAAAGGGACGAGAAAAAAATCGACTTAGGGAGGTTTCTAGTTAGGGAAACAAGCATTTTTTTGGAAAAACAGAAAATAATTTCAGAAAATTGTAAATGGTGATATTCTGGGTATTAGAAATCACTTCTTTAATGAGTTTACAGCATGCTTAACTTGGAGCTAAGTGTTCATTTGCCCAATTAGTCTGTCACTTCATTTTAAAACACATTAAGTTACTTGTTGTATTGCTTTTCTCTTCCCTGTATCAAGAAAATGATAGCCAAAAGGCTGCAAAAAATCCAAATTACAGAGGTTTGAGAGAAACATACTTCAAGTTAGGGAGGTTTTTAATGCATTGTTTTTAAGAGAATTCACACGGGGACTCGGAAAAATATTCGGCTTACGGAGTTATTCAACTTTGGGAGGTTCAACTTATCAAGGTTGAACTGTATTTTGTAATTTTTACTATTCTAATCTCATTTCAGACATGACCGTCGAGTCTCTGTGTTGGAGCCAATCGGTGAGTGACGTTCCCAGATTTTTCCTAACCATTCTAGAAAAGAAAAAACTCTGTTGATTCCCCACACTCAGGCTTCCTCTGGAAAATTGATAAAAACAGAATTTTCTTCTGAAACATTTCGTGCAACACGACGAGCCTTTCGAATAAGGCACTAGATCGGTTCTCCAAACAAAAACAAAAAATGATACGAATAGGCTTTGTCCCAATCGTCCCCAGCTTGTTTAGAATGAATCATGTAAGAAATCGGAAGAAACATTTTCCAGTTTTTTCACGCCTTCCTCATTAAATGCGTTTTTCTTGTTGTGACGAAGTAAATAAATGAATAAATACAATTCCACACGCACAACGAAACACGACCGCCTGAAATGTATTGACAAATTCGGCGGATTGCAAAAGAGGTGAAAGTAACGAACGCCAACGGCGTGGAAGTCGCCGTCGTCGTGGACGCCTTCAAAGAAATGCCCAAAGCTGGCGGCGCCGCCGACGTCGCCTCAAGAGCCGTTGGTGTCGACGACGCCGACACAGGCGACACCAGTGACAACAACAATAGACCCTCGGGGAATCCCAAGGGCCTCGACGACCTCGGCGACGTCGATACTGACGGCATCGACAACGACGACGGCGATGAAGTTGCCAGCAATAATGACGGCAACTCAGCTGTCGGCACTGCTGTGCCAATGCCGCAACACGTCGTCGTGGCTCGTCCGCGTCGAGTGTCGGACATCAGTTTCGGCGACACCAGAAAGCCGCTGCCGAAGGCGTCCAGCTTTTTTCTCTTTTCGCCCGCCAATAGGTGAGTTATTGGCAGCTGGGCGAGTGAACACACGACACACGACACTGTCCATTTATTTGCGATGAATTGAAAGCAACGACGAGAGAAAAAAACGAAATTAAAAGCAGTTTTCTGAAAGGCAGATAAAAGTTGAAACATTTCAGAGTGTTGAAAATTCGAAAGAAATCAAAGAAGTGCTTATTTCCGAAATTTTTTGCTTGCAGAAATGCTTTTCCCTGGATTCTCAGCAGCGCATGCAATTCATCGCGAATAAATCTCACGGAAAACACTCATTTTTTTCATTGGATTTTCACTTGGTGGAAGGCGATGTTTTCTCTTCATTTTCATTTGTATTCTTCTGAATTTCGTGCAAGTTCACTTTGCACCTTGTGTAAATTTTTCGGTATTTCATCTTCTTGTCATCTAGGCCGGGGATGATTAAATTTTGCTTACCATGTAAATAGATCCACGACGCGTATGTATGCAATTTCCAGTTTCCCCAAACAGTAGGATAAATACGGCGTCGTTCCCACGGAACGCGATGTACGTTGCTTGCTACCAGGTTTGTTTGTCTTTTGCTATTATTATGTTTAATTATGTGGGTATGCTCTGCCATGGATTCACGTTTCCTTTTTGCTCAAATTTTAAAGCAGTAAACTTCAACGTTTTGAACTGCTGGATTGAACATTGAACAAATTGATTTTCAATAGTCTCTGGCCCGCCAGCAATTTTTATGGGATACTTTTTGAACATCCGTGATGCTGGAAAAAGAAATGCGAAAGGATTAAAAACACGTAATTCAAAAGATCAGAACCTTAGTAGTAAATAGTAATGCATTAATGTTCTTCCACGAAAATGTTTTCGTTGACTCATTTGGGCCCTAAAATTCACGGAAGATGATTGGTGTCGAATGTTTTTTTTTTAAAGATTCACAAGACGTTGGAAACTTTCCAAATTGAATGCATATGAATAATCACCGAACGAATTATGGTGATATCTCTGCAAATATAGAAATATCAATAATAAAAATAAAAAAGTTTAACGACGATGAACTCAAGTTCAGCGACCGAATAAAATCAATTTGAGCGAAAGAAAAAGTGAGCTGTCGGGCGGAGAGTAGATTCCACAATTTATTACGCATTCAATTCCAACTCAATTTATTCTCGTCGTATTTTTTTTCTTCTTTCTTTCTTATCTACCGCATCCGAACCGCGTGCGTGCGTACATTTTTCAATGAATAATTCATCGAACTGCGGTGATCTTCTGTTGATTTAAAAAAAAAAAACATTTGGTGACGTATGATAACGCGGTATTCAAATGAAATCGAAACAAACAAAAAAAAAACGAAAAAAAAGAAACTGCGGAGGATCTGGAAGAGCTGGACGAAGAGGAGGAGGAGGAGGAGGAGGAGGAGGAAGAAGAGGAGGACGACGAGGAAGGGCAGGGCCGTGTGGGAGCCCGCCCCCGGCGCATGTCCGAGTTGGACAGCCAGCCCGTGATCACGCCCATGCCGTTGGCGCGCTCCTTCTTCCTCTTTGCGCAGGACAACAGGTGAACCCTGCGCAGAGTAAAAAAAAAAAAAAAGAAAAAAATTTAACAACCGAACCCCTTTCCTCCGCCATCTGCAAAATCTGGACGTTTCTGAAGGCCGTGTTTCTTTTGAATTCTCTTCTGCAGTATTTTTCTTGTACAGTACGAAAAAAAGAGCAAGGTTGAATCCCAGAAATTTGAGTGCCTTTTAATTTTTGAAATGAAATAAAATAAACTACGGAAAATTGCAACGAAGTGACTCGCGCGTGGCTTCTTAATTTTTTTTAAACCAGCGTTTTCTACTGTAACAAGAATTTTTCTATTATTATTTCATAGCATTCATCCGAGTCGAAAAAGCTTTTGAAAAATGATATCCCTGAGGAAACATCTTAATAATCATATCGTAATCGGCTATCGGAAGCCTTTGATACTTTATACTTCTAAAATCTAAAGCCTAATCTTTCTAAAATCTAAATACCACTAAAGGAGCGGTCAGAAACGTTCAGTTTTTTTTCAAGTTTGATCCGAAAAGTCTAGTTTCGTGATTTCGTGGCTGCCCTGAAAGCTTCGTTTTGTGTGCCTCTAACCCATGAGCCTGGAACATTTCCTGACACGGGTCAACGACGATTTAGCATAGAATGCATTGCGAGTGACAAATACACGCGTTTGACAAAATTAATCGACCGAGACACAAAAAAAAACTCTATATTCACCCGAGATTCAAAGCAATCTGTCTGTCAGACGCGTGTGCTTGTTTATAGTGTCCACCGCTAACCCTGATTTAGCTCGTGTTATTTTTTTTAATATTCATGTGATCGAGCAAAAAACTCATCTTGAATCCAAGTTACAATACGTTTTGAAAGCTGAACTTGCCTTCATATGTTCAGAGAAGAAATTAATTTTTAAAATGTCAGTGCAATGTAATTTCTCCATGTACCGTAAATCTTGCTAGTAGAGTGAAACATTTCCTTGCGATTTTGGATGAGTTTTCTTTTGATCACATGAAAAATTCACATGTGACGAAGGGTTTGTATAGGGAATATGCCGAATAGATCGCATACAAAACAACAAACTGCCAAAAAAAAAAAAAAAATTTACCAGTAGAAAGGCGACGCTTCTAGAAAACTGCTTCAGCCTGTGACACCCAGAAAGAGAAAATCTCAATCCAGAACACCGAACAATTTTGAACAAGACGTCCATTTGCTCTACCTCAAGAAAATATTCACGATATTCGAACATGACTCTGCTTTGGCTGATGATATTCCGCGATTCACCAATTTTCATCACGTTTTTGGCATATCATATTTGCTCAAATTTTGCGCTTTTTTATTATGACTCGTGGGTTGCTTTTGCTGGTAGGTATTTTCTTGGCTTAGACAAAAGGGAACAACGCTTTTGGGTGCTGGATTTGAAACCCCGCATGTTTTGCATGGATTTGCACGCTTCATTTCCCGTCCAATCGAGAAATTAGCTGGAATTACATTATTTATTCTTATTCTTACAGCGCCAATTTTTTTTTTTTTGCAAGGAACTTCGCTTTTTCTGGTTTTACGAAGAGTTTAGAATCATTCTTTTTTGGTAAAAAAGTGCTAAAAAGATAAAAATTTTAACAAATACGGAGTGTGACTGAGTTGAGTCGCATGTTTTTGGTTTCGCAGTTCGTCTTTTGTTAATTATCTGGATGCTGATTGTAATCACGTCGAATTTCATGAGGTTTTCTTGTGGGTGCCAATTAGATTCCGGGTGATGTGCCACTTTGTGTGCAATCACAGTTACTTCAGCAACATCATCCTGGCGTGTATCCTCATATCTTCGGCCATGCTGGCTGCGGAGGATCCTTTACAATCCTCATCACCTAGGAACCAAGTGAGTGGAAAAATATTCATAAAATAAAATTACTGCATATTTATTGTACGGAAGTACGATTTCTTGAGTCATGCGGATTGATGATGAATTATCCAGTATAGACTGGAAAGAATTTACTCCGGTCAGAAAAATGAATTTGAGCATTTAAGAATTGAGATCATGTCGAAACGTCGTGATCTAAACTCGTATTCTCAGTCATCATTTTGCAGCACTCGTTCAGGAAAATATTAACATTTTTTATCCAAACACCAAAGTCATTTAAACATGTGTAGTTCGTTGTTCGCAGCATTGAAATTTTTAAAAGTTAAGATAATTTAACGGTATTTTTGACTAACCTTTGAGAACCAACAAGAAATGCATTCATTCGTTTGGTTTCCGAATATGCGAGGGACAAACTGAAAGTCGCAATAAATCGAAATGTATCGTATTGGTTTGTTGGGATACATCATAATTTTATATTTGGTATGAATAACCCGGATTTTTCTCTTTATGTGTTTCTCTTTTTTTAAATAGATTCTGAATTACTTCGACATGTTTTTCACAAGTGTGTTCACGGTGGAGATCTGCATCAAAGTGATCGCCTACGGGTTCATTTTGCATGACGGCGCGTTTCTGCGCTCGGCATTCAATTTGCTCGACTTGTTGGTTGTGACTGTTTCTCTAGTGTCCTTTGGGCTCAGGTAAAAAAAATCTTAACATTGTATACATGTAATCCATATTTTGTCAAGTTTTCAGCTTGAATTTTTTGTTCCTTGCTGCAGTAATGGAGCCATAAGCGTGGTGAAGATTTTGCGTGTGCTGAAAGTGCTGCGGCCGTTGAGGGCCATTAACCGGGCCAAGGGCTTGAAGCACGTGGTTCAGTGTGTGATTGTTGCTGTGAAGACAATCGGCAATATTGTCGTTGTCACGACTCTGCTCCAGTTCATGTTTGCTGTTATCGGGGTGCAGCTGTTCAAAGGGAAATTTTTCATGTGTAGTGACACGTCGAAGATGACCGAAGCGGAATGCCAGTGAGTTCAATTCTTTCTCTGGCCGAGTGACAAAAAGAAAACAAACAAATATATATTGCATCACTTTGTAATCTGTGGTACTACGGGAGTATATTTTTTTCAACTTGATAGATTAACCTTTCCTTCAACTGAAAATTTTGGAACAATGAATGCTGTTATGTCGAATTTATTTTGCGACGCAGTAGTTAATTTTTAATTTTTGAAGCGCAGCTTGACAATATTTTTGATGATGGATTTTTTAAATTGCATGATTTCGAAAAACGCTCCAGAATTCATTCCAAAATTCCCCAGATGTTATCCCAGTTTTTTATGATCCCGAGGCAATTGAATCTAGTGAAAAGTGCACATTTCCGATGGTTTTAACTTAGATTACTAAAATGTGTTTTAAAAAATTTGAGTGCGAAAAGTGTCGCCCTCCCTCGGTTTAAATTAATTACGCCAAGCACGAATATTGTTGCAATTAATGTGGACAAATATATTTTTTTGCTCGTTTTCTGTCTGAATATCATAATAGGTGCAGTTTTAAACATCGCATTCTTGTTTGGCTCTGTTTCAGTGGTTCTTACGTAGTGTATGAAGACGGGAATTTGAACAACCCGATTGTAAAAGATCGCGAATGGTATCGCTACGAATTCCACTACGACAATGTCGGCAAGGCGATGCTTACATTGTTTACAGTGTCAACTTTCGAGGGCTGGCCACCGTGAGTCGAACTACTCAAAATGTTTTTCCTTCTTTAAAAAAATCACGATTTAAATTAACGCGTTTTTTTTTTATTTGTGTTGAACAGGTTGTTGTACGTGTCGATAGACTCACATACGCCGGACACGGGACCAATTTACAATTACCGGCCGTTCATCGCAGTCTATTATTTCGTGTACATCATCATTATTGCGTTTTTCATGGTCAACATCTTCGTGGGTTTCGTCATTGTCACCTTCCAGTCTGAGGGAGAGCAGGAGTACAAGAATTGCGAGCTTGACAAAAATCAAGTGAGGGACTCGAATCTTCGCAGAAAATTTTTTAACGCGTATCGAAGTAAAGTCTCATTTCTTGGATGGTACGAGGGGCTTCCTAAAAGTCGCAAGAGTCATCGACGCATATCCTAGTATTTTTTTATTATTTAAAATAGTTCGTCTCATCAGGCAATCACGAGGCACGATTAAAAATGCTTTCACGTATGCTTTCTGAATTTGTTTCGGCAATGATCGTCGATTTTGGGCTGCCATTTTTTAAGTCTTTGCGAAAACTCATCTCTGCAGTCTTTTTGAACGGTCACATTTGCAGTGAGTGCATTTTCATGAGAAATTAGCTTCTTTTGCGCGGCTGCTCCGGAAAATCACCAACAGGATGATTTATGCGTGAACATGAAAATATTCCCACGAAGCAGTCTTCAGAAGAAAGGAATGGTTCATGAATAGTTCTATACTTTTGTTGGTTTATTATGAACAGACCCACAGAAAGAAAAACCAAAAATATATGCTGGAAAACAAAAAACTCGTCCGTTTTTCTAATAAATTCTTCCGGCGCATAAAACACTCACGTATATTTTTCTCGTGTTAATCCTGGATTATTTCTTTCCAAATCAGCAATAAGTTACGAAAAATAAATGCTTTGGTCAGATGCATTGATGAATACAGTAGTACGTTGTTCGCAATTTTTTTTTTCTGGAAGCCTCTGGTATGAACTTAAAACAAAGAGTTCAAATACCTGTACGTCTCGGTATCGGTTTGTTAGAGTAATTAAGTTATCAGATTACGATATCGCGAATTAGGAACAATTTGAAAAAAAACTTGTCTCTTGAATATTATTCAAATTTTTCTCAGAGAAACTGCATTGATTTCGCGTTGAAAGCGAAGCCGGTGCGTCGGTACATCCCGAAAAACAGGGTTCAGTATCGGATATGGTGGTTCGTGACGTCCACTCAATTTGAATACGTCATCTTCGTCCTCATCATGGTGAACACGATTTCCTTGGCCATGAAGTTCCACAATCAACCGCCGGGTTACACCCAGGGCCTCGACGTTCTCAACATGATTTTCACGGCCGTTTTCGCCCTGGAATTCGTTTTGAAAATCCTGGCTTTCAAACCGAAGGTGGAGAGTGACGCCCTAATTTGCATAGAGATTCCGAAATTAATTTACTACATTTCATTTCAGAATTACTTCGGAGACGCGTGGAACGTATTTGACTTCATCATTGTTCTCGGAAGCTTCATCGACATCGTTTACGCCGAAATGAGCGTGAGTCAAGCAGGCTTTGAACGTCTCGAAAACACTTTGAAATTTGATTTTAAAATTGAAAATATTGTACTGTACTTGCTACATTTTTAGCAAGCTCATTTAAATCGTGTGAGTGTAATTCGAGAAAAAATATGAGGTTTTTAAAATAATTTATGGTGGTTTTTGCCGATTTTTGATTTTTTTTAATAATACAAATATAATTGCAGAGTTTCTAATCGATTAAAATTTTCCAGGATTTAATTCATCAAGCAATAAAAAGCAATTTTCATGAATCACTTGAATATTAATCCATAGATTAAACTCGTTGTTTAATCTATTGAAGATGATGATAAATTTCTCGGAATAGCCTCATTCAGCAGTTTTAGTTTTGTTTTCGTTTGTTCCACGTGGGCCAGAAAAAACTATCTAGTAGTTACCAGGGCTTTATTTCTATAGAGATGAGCTAATTGATATATAATAATGCGCATGTAATTTATTTTCATTATCGAAGTCGGGGAAAAGTATCATCAGCATCAACTTTTTCCGCCTGTTCCGAGTGATGAGGCTTGTCAAGTTGTTGAGCAGAGGTGAAGGCATTCGAACTTTGCTTTGGACATTCATAAAATCTTTCCAAGCCTTGCCTTACGTTGCACTGTTGATCGTCATGCTGTTCTTCATTTATGCCGTCATCGGAATGCAGGTGAAATGCCGAAATTTTCCTATGCAACCCACAAATTGTGGCTATTTATGACACTTGCTAATTCGTAAAATTGTGAAATTTTTATCAAACAAACGTTTCATGGAAAAAGAGGGATCCTGACATAAACTTGAGAAGCAAAGAGTTTTACTGATGAAGAAAAGAGAGGCCCGTATTGTTCCTTTTTCAGGATTAATTCCAGTGCGAATTTTCAGCTTGCTTAACGCAAAAATAGCTTTCCAGGGAAGGGCGAATTTTTTATGTTACCTTCCACATTTTTACAAACAATTATGATTGACATAAGTGGGCCATTGATGTTCTACAAAATTTACATGGTATAATTTAAAGTTTTACAGAATGGCTAATTGGTTCAAGATCCCTCGAAGATTTCTTTTTTCGAATGGCTAACGAAGTTATTTTGAGTGCTTAATTTTTTCTAGATCCCTAGGAATTATTTACCTTTATTTCAAAATAGCTCTCTAAATAAATTTACGATTGTTAAGCATGATAAAATATCAGCTAAAACTCTGGGAAACAAGCGGAGGGAAATTATCAAGCAAGAAAACCTGGCCAGAAAGCGTTTACTCATTTGAAAAATGAAATCTTATTTCCCGCTGCAACGCTTATTTTTGATAGACAATGCTTTAACGCCTTATCCGGAGCAGGGTCCACTAAATGAATCAAAAATCATGAGTTCATTCCACCTGCTAAAGAAAAAAGGTCCCTCATCAAGCTGCTTCACATATTCGTGATCACAATTACCTGAACAATTATTTTCTCTCGCCTGCATGCAGCTGTTCGGGAAAATAGCACTGAACAACGAAGGGTCGGCCATTGACCGGAACAACAACTTTCAAACGTTTCCGCAAGCCGTGTTGGTGTTGTTCCGCTCTGCGACCGGCGAAGCCTGGCAGAAAATCATGTTGGCTTGCATTCACGCACCGGCTGTCAAGTGTGACGTTCGAAGCGACGAATTCAAGAGCCAACAAACCAGTTGTGGATACGACTTCGCCTTCCCTTATTTCATCTCTTTCTACGTGCTTTGTTCCTTCCTTGTGAGTACCGGAATTCAATTTTTATACCTGAAAATTTAATCGAAGTACGTGCCATGATGCATATTTACGTCTGGTCGTTTTGCACGCAGATTCCGGGAAAAGCGAATGAATTGAAGGAATAATCTTTTGTTGAGTGACAGACAAATGATTTTACCGTACTCTCCTTTGATTTATTGGAATGAATTCCCAGAAGTTTTTTTTTTCCAAAAGTGCATTACTTTGCATAACTTGCAAAATAAATATTCATCCTTGAAATTGGCTCATGACTGTTCCCATGCCGACGTTAGTGTATGCAGGGAAACAGTGTAATGCTTTATTTTAATTCAATGTGGAATACTTATTTTTTATTTTTATTTATTTTGAATTAATTTTTAAAACGCAAGAATTCCCGTGAATTCGGGGGCGAGGAAATCGGGATTTGGTCTCAAGTTCACAATATGGTGAACTCGCCATTCGACGGAGAAAAAAAGTGTGAAGAAATTTGAATAGTTTGAAATTATTGTTTCATTGACATTTCAGATCATCAATTTGTTTGTGGCTGTCATCATGGACAACTTTGACTATCTGACGAGGGATTGGTCCATTCTCGGGCCTCATCATCTCGATGAGTTTGTGAGGTTGTGGAGCGAATATGACCCAGACGCAAAGGGCCGCATCAAACATCTGGACGTTGTGACCTTGCTTCGCAAAATCTCTCCTCCTCTGGGTTTCGGCAAACTTTGTCCTCACAGAGTCGCTTGCAAGGTTTGTACTGTACTTGTTCGAAACTTCTTTTTCTTCTAAATGCTTTCCGATTTCACGCCCTGGTATTCCATGCTGACCGTTTCGGCAAAATTAGATCAAAATACCCTTGTTTTTATGTGAATCCTGAAATTTTTTCTCCGTCATACTCAAGATTTTCTGGTCCTTTCGACTAATATTGGCACTTTTTGTCGATCAAGAAACGCGTAAAGGATTTCTGAATGTTTTCCTGGCATGTTCCATTTTTCTAAATCTTTCTATTATTTTAAGAATTTTTAGTTCATACCTTTGCGGAATATTCCGATTTTCTGGGACATTCGCGGCTGTGATTATTTTAGAAAAAAAAATGTTCGCATGTGATGGAGAAGAACATGTCTGTGAACTCTGACTTCCTGGATGATGTTAGAATGCCATATTTCCTCCTCTGGCAAACTGTTCAAAATTAATTTTAGAATCTTATCTTCGTAGTTCGTCGAATAATCCCCGTTTATGTTGCTTCAAAACTCTCATGTTTGTTTTTGGGTGAGCTTGTAAGAAACGTTGTTCGTCTTCCTTGGTTATGGTTCAGATTGTATCATATTTTTCGGCATACATTTTTAGCGCTTGGTGGCGATGAACATGCCTCTGAACTCTGACGGAACCGTCATGTTCAACGCGACTCTGTTCGCTGTTGTGAGAACGTCATTGCGAATCAAGACCGATGGCAACATTGACGATGCCAATGCCGAGCTTCGAGCAGTCATCAAAAAGTTCTGGAAACGCACGAATCCTCGGCTTCTCGACCAAATCATCCCTCCGCCCGGTAGTGAGTATTTTTTTCTAAGCTTGCTGCCGTGTGCAAAATTTTCCCCTCTGCAACTTCTGCGGTCGTCGGGCGACATCTACTTCAACATTTCGGCTACATCTGCGAGGTTTGCCAGAGCGAACGTGACTCTTGCTGGTGCAAACCGAAGCTATTCCTGTGATACTGTACATTAAATTTTCCCGCTGGATTGTCTTGGATTTTTTTTTTTATTTCTAAAAGAAAGAAAATTACGAGGATTGATCGAAATTTCGTCCTTTTTATGCCATGCCATGTAATATATTAATTACAAAAACGTAGATCGTCTGGAAACAAGAGATTTTGAACAGAAAATGCGGCTGGAACATGATTTGAAAAAATTTTTGGAATATTTTTCCGGAAAAATGATTGACTGGAATTTACGATCCATCCTCGTTTTTCGGTTACCCTGTAAATACGAAACGAAGCAGGAGTGTTGAACCTTTTAACATCCTTTGAATTCAATTTTTGGGAAAATATTTGAAAATATAACGAAAACACGACTTTTTCGTACATTGAACAAAGATTTTTGACTTCATACTTTCAATGATAAATACTTGAATAATTATTTTTCCCTTCTTTCAAAATCTTGATCAAGCTTTGTTTTTAATAATGCCGTGCGACATCTTGAAAGCTATGGCTTTGATTTCAGTCATTGATTAATTGAAAATCCAAATATTTTCCCGACATTAAAGTGAATTGCGTGCTCCTGCAATGAAATTAAATTCGCCCCATGCTTTTTCATTGGCAAAAAATGGAGTTTCTGTTCTTCTGAAGGAATCAGCAGATGATGAGTTGCAGCTGAAAAAAGTACTGTCTCTTTTCCCAATTTGAGTGTGCTTAGTGCAGAAGCGACAGAAAACGCGATCAACAAAAGAACCGTAATTAGGCGCTTTTATCGAGGAAGTGTGTGGCACTATTTTTAGCGCAATGAAATTTAGAAAGCGTGAAATAATTCTTTGAAAGTGTGGTGGTATTATATACGAAGAAAAAGGGAGTCCAGTGTGCTATAGATTTCTAGGAAAACCTTTGCCTGTTTTGCGGTTGTAGACTTGGAAAAACGAATTCGATTAAATTTGAATAATGATATTCCTTGGTAGACTCATTCATTCGGGTTGAACATTATCGAGCTGAAAAAGCTGTGACTAATTATTCATGAGCTTGGACACTCTTAAAGCTGGGCTTACATTCCCGGAAACTTTCGATCAAATTTCACTTCTCTGGAGAATAATATTGGTTTTATTTTGTAAACAAAAAAATGCGAATTCAAGATGACGACGACGTGACTGTGGGCAAGTTTTATGCAACTTTCCTGATCCAAGACTACTTCAGACGATTCAAGAAGAAAAAGGAGCAGGAGATGAAGGAACAAGGAGAACGAAGTCGTGAAAATACTGTCACTTTACAGGTTCATTTCTGATTTCTTTTTTTTTCTTCTTCTTTAGAATGAAAAAGAAGAAAATTTCTTTACTTATTCCCGAATTTGTTTTAGGCTGGTTTGAGAACATTGCATGAGGCAGGACCGGAACTGAAGCGAGCCATTTCCGGAAATCTAGATCAACTGATTGACGACGACCCGGAGCCGATGCACAGGGTGAGGATTTCCGTTTCCCGATTTCATTTTCATTGTCGTTTTTTCTCCTATTTGCTAAATCCGGGTTTTTCCCTCCTTTAAAAATCCACTTGATGTATTCGAACCAGCAGTCGTTTCAAATAAGCCGGGTTGCTATACTCATTAGAGCGAAAAATATTCATGATTCTGTAGCTAGTTCTTTTTGTCGGCGAGAAAAAGAACAAAGAGATTTCGTTTTTTATTTTATTGGTGGCCGAATTTTTGTTTCTTGTGAACGTGCAGAGAAATCACACTTTGTTCGGAAGCATGTGGTCGTCAATGAAAAGCAAGCGCCCTCGTTCGTTCCAGTTTGCTTCGTCACAGTCGAAAGTAAGACCGAAATTCATTTTCGCACGATTTGGTTGCGGTTTTAGACTCAATGACAAAACATGATCGATATCGGCGTGGTTTAAAAGGGTCTTCATCTTGCACTGGATTTTTTATTTCAAATTTAAAAGTTGTACTGTATTCAATATCTTAAAAGGCAACTGAGAAATTGGTTCAGACATCATATGAGTAGACTTAAGATGGCGCATTTTGTTCGCGAACCACTTGAAGTCTTCGTATATATTTCCCTGACTCTCGATTTCATAAATGAACTACAGTATATTTTTTAAAAATAAAAGGTACAAGAGTAGAGTTTTTTGATAACTGCGATAAAAAATTCCTTGACTTATCTGTCTCATTATCATTCGTGCGTAGAATCAATCTCATGCCTGCCTGTGTGATCAATACAAGAGCTTTCTTCTAAATCTTGGAAGGTACCCAAGAAATATCATCGGAGAAACAAAAAACAGTTGCATTTTCTTCATCTACTACTATGTAATCACTTTCTTTTGTGGTGAAAATATAAAAAGTTTCACGAAAGAATGAATATTAGACGCAATTAAATGATTAAATAACTTGAAGGAGTCACAAATGAACTTGCAGGAGAAAGTTGCTTCAGTTTCAAGAAAATTTTATAAAATTATCCAGCAGTTTTGTCTAACTCAATGATGAAACTAATTATTAATTTGATAGTTTTCTATGACCAATAGTAATATTTTGAAGTCCTTTATAGCGATGTTTTTTCAAATTCACTCCTTAATATTTTCGAAAATCTTCCAGCGGGAAAATGCTATTCATGGATATTTCCACTTCACTTCTCATGTAGTTGATGAGAAATTTTTAATTTTCACCGAACGTTTGTCGTCAATGATCACTTTGGCCGGCTATGGGATTTTTTTTTACTTCATAGAATTTGATTATGTGTTGGCTACATTTGACGGGAGATAATGTTCCAAACAACTGATGATAGGTTATTTTAAATTTGAAAAAATTAATTTAATGATACAGCTGTAACATGAATTAAGCCTATGAAACCCGCCTTGATGAGTGATACAAGCTTACATAACACGGACCTGTCGCACTCATTGAAACTCGCCATTTGACAAAACTTAACCCATGTCCAACAACTGCACGTTGTACATTCACTTACTCACTTCCGGAAAAATTGTTCAGCTATTTTCGAGTCGTTCTATATTGGTGGCATTGTTGTCTTATTTGTGTCGTCTCATTTCATTTCATATCTTCGTAAATCTGTTGTGTGTGTCCGTGTACGTACTTCGGTTTCTGTTTGCGACAGAAACACGCAACGAGCGCGCGTAAGGGTCCAATAAGCATTTTGAAGGTGAGAATTCCTGCCGAGTGGAATCTAGCTTTTTTTTCTCATAGAAAAAAAAATAGAAAATCATCTTCTCTATAGACATTCGTGAAGTGATTTATTATTTAGTTGCTGATTCTCCTGTTAGACTCAGAAAAAGAGTTTCCAGGCACGCCATGTTTCCCCTGTCAGTTTGGTAGCATTTGGAAAGAGTGTGATTCGTAGATATTTATGACGGCCTTGTTTCCTCGCTTTGATAATTATTCGAAGAAATGTGTTTCAATCGCAAGGTTTCTCCTGCACATTCTCTGGATTACAACCAGATGAATCATCAGCCTGCTGAAACCCGACACCATTCACTGCACGTCGGAAGGTGAGTTTTTTTCGTCTTCTTGTTTTTTTTGCAGAACAACAACGGGATACTTTTTCAATGCATGAAATCCTGCCTTAGGAGTTATTAGAAAATATTAAAAAAAATAATCTTTTGAGCTATTCCGTGAGATGGAGTTTTTTCTCGAGTAAATTGGAATGTACCAGTCTGACTTTTCCTCTCTCCCAATTCCAGAGAACTTACCAAATTTTGAAAAGGGAATCATCGAGATTAATGTATTATAGCACATGAGATATTTTATTTCCTCTAGTCGCTTTGTGTTTGGTAATAGAGTGTTTACGTGAGCTTGATGACTTAAAAAGCCTTTGTCAATTAGAAATCCACGTAAATATTATTGTTTTCGGCAGTTGCTAAGTTGTTCAAACTTGGTCACTATATAATATCCTGTATTTTTAAATTTCCCGAAAAAAAATTGAAAAAGTTTAAAAAAGCAGTCCTAGCGTATAGAGCTGAATTTTGTCGCATGGAAGCAAGTGTAGACTTGTTTGAATGGCCGTATTCTTTGATTAAATGAAATGTGTTCTAACTCATGCATCTTCTGTGTGTGCCAAATATGCGGCTCTTTTTGTTGGTTGGCTGATTTCCCTACTGGGCGATTGTCGTCATCGTGGTCCTCGTCATCGTCGTCGTCGTCGTCGTCTATGTGGACCTTGCTGCTTGCGTGTGGCATGTTTTGAAAAAAACAAATACAAACGAACAAACAAATGTACTGATGTGTGTGCGTGTGTGTGTCATGGGTACGTGTAATAGTAGTGCCTGGTCGTTGATCCGGGCCGCGTCGAGGTATGGGCGTCGTCGGCGGACTGCGGGTGACGAAGACCTGCACTGCCTGCGCCCCCTGCGCCTTGTCACGGGCCCGGACCCGGTACCCAACGACCTCTGCCTGCGCCCGCCGCTTTGCATCAACGTCGAGTGAGTTCCGTGTCCCCCCCACCCAACTGGTGTCGATTGGATTTGGAAAAAGATGAGGGGGTACTGTTTCTTGTTTTATTTATTTTTCCTCATTTTTTCTAATTGCGTAATGAGCGTGAAGAACAATTCCAAGTGAAACAGACTGCGTGCTGGTTGGCACGGTTGACCTTAGCGCCACCCAGCGTCAGTTGTTGCAAGTCGCAAACAGTTTTTCATTCATTTGACGCACAAAAAATATAATAAAAAAATAGTACAGGTGGTTTCTCGCAATTCGACCATCATCCGTGGCTGGACTAGAGTCGAATTGCGAGACACTCAGTGAAATTTAAAAATATAAGCTAAAAAAAACGAAAAAGTGGTCAAAGCAGGTCGAATTGTGGGGCAAGGGTTGAATTGCAAGTCAACCTCCCTGCAATTTGACCATCAAATTGCGGAAGGTTGAATTGCGAGGTACCACTTGTACAAATATATGCAATCATTTCTTTTTGCGCATCCTTTGAATGATATTCCTTAAGCTAAGACAGGGTGCTTTTCGATACAGTACAGCGAGACCCCAATATGTCATCACCCTGACATATATGGACAATTCGACTTAGGGACACTTGAAACCCCCAAAAAAAAAGCAGGCCCAACATCTGGACATTGGCTCAAGTTAGGGGCACTTCTGAAATTTTCCCAAACAATCAAAACGTATCATTTTTTAAAATTGTGATATCTTAATTTTGAACAAACCAAGCTATTTATATTCATAAAATGTAAAAAAATATTTCATGATTAATTCACTCTTATTCATAATCAAAAGCAAGCTGATTTTGTGCTTCGTTTTTCAGAGTTTTTTCCTCTCATCTGTGCAGATTCTAGCAAGACTTATTATCTTTTTTTTTGCTTTTTCATATCCTTTTGATACAAAAACATCAGATTCCACATCTTGAAGTTGAGGAAAACAATTTTTAGTAAAATTTTGAGGACTTACTGTATTTCCAATTTTTGACAACAGGAGAACCAATTAAATACATTAGCATTGAAGTCTAAGAAAAAATGAGACTTGATTTATTAGGGACATTCCAACATCAGGACACTCTTGAATCTTGATGCATCAATTACGTCCGCATCTCGGGGTCTCACTGTACATGAATTCTTGCTCAGCTTCCCTATGTTGACTGGCGCTCAGTTTTGGGGTCACGAATTGACGGCGAAATTGTATCAACCTGACGAATCTTGCCTTCGAAAAAAAGAAAAAACAAAAAAAGTTTCTATTCAAATTCACGAATTGAAAAAATCGCGAAGTCATTTTTGCCGGGCATTATTCTCAAATAATCCATAATGTATAATGGTCAAGCTGAGACGGTTGTCTGATATGCAGTTAGCTCACGATCATGACATTTTTTGCCAATTCAAATTCTCGGGAATTAAGCAATTCGCTTTTCGAATACTTAGGGAAAAGCAATGAACCAAAAGAAGGAGGCGATTTCTTGTTTTCTTCGCGATAAAATATCGCCGTTTTCTGTGCGGTATGACGTGTTTCAACAGCACTTAAATTTATTGATAGCTGCGTATTTTTTCCCACAAGATCCAGAACACCTTAGGCAAATCCAAAATCATGGAATCAATGAAGAATCATGGAGGTGATCATTCAGTTGAACTATACTGAAATGTCTATTTCCAGAAATCCGAAAATAAACGTGACGTCATTCCGTTTTTAACCTCATACTCGTATTTTTTAAAATATACCCCTTTATCCCTCCCGAGTGCCGTGGCATGTCGATTGTGAGTGGAGACTGTTTGGTGTAATCTTTGATCGACCAAGAACCAATTTGAAAAGAAATTCACCAGAGATGAAATCAACTTAAAAGTTTTATAATGCCGTATTTCACAGCCAAGCGCCGCTGATGGTGAATCCGAATTTCCTGTCCCCGTTTTATGGTGAGGAGCATTCATTGGGTTAAAAAAAAACTATAGCCCAGTCGAGTTTCGTGGGGTGTGGCTTACTTGCCGTGACTTCTTCCTAATTGATCACGAGGGTTTTTCCTGGGTGACCACGTTAATTATCTAACCGATAACGAAGCCATGTAATATTAGCTATGCCTGCACTGCCTAAACAAAACTAACCTTGTCAAATAAGCTCGAAATACTGTACGAGGATATTAGTGATAAGAGGCATGGCTTTTGCACGTATAGTTGGTTAATTTTTCCTTCGCAGCTTCTTTCCTTTCTTGATGGAGTCGCAGGCGTTTTCAGGACATTTTTATTGTGAAAGGATTGACGGAAATTTGCACAGAATTTTCACTCGTCGTGAGGAAATCTTCGCTTTCTGCAGCAAATGCAGAAAATCAATTTTAGTCGCTTGTCAGATGCTCCTTGTTTTTTTTTTACTTATTCATTTGTAATGAATCGATGTCGCATGTTTGTTCATCTGGAAAAGTGTTGAAAAATTAGCGCAATGATTGTTTTATGATTCGTTCAATGTCGCATCATACATGTGTTCATCAACCCGTTGCTTAGCTTTCAGTTTGAACTTGTGAATTGTTGGACAGGAATGAAATTATCTGCTGCTTTTTGGACCGGAACTGGGCCATGTATGCAATCTTTCGAGCAGACTTTGTTTGTTTGCCTGTCAGGTGATACATACTGCAGATGGATACTTGCTCGAACTGCCCGTGATGCGCCATTTCTTGCAACAATGGCAATCCTACTTTAGTCTCTGCAATTTCCAAACTTCCGGTCGCATTGCTGAGATCATTCCATATATACAGTATTTGTAAATGTATCTGAAATAATTTTGAAGCCCTCGTTCTGGTATAAAACCTAGTTTCCGTCTCCAATAATGGGAAAAACATCCAATTTTGAGAACCATAGCAAAATACTGTACATGGACGAGACTTTTTTTTAACCATCTTCAAATGTTATGGCGAAGTTTGAATGTGAGGATATTGATTGATCTTCAATTTTCAAACTTCCGCGGTCAATGCTGAGATCATTCAGTGTATCCAGAAAATAATTCAAATTCATTTAAAATATGTGGAGCAGTAGTTCTAGCATACCTGCAAAGTTTCTAGACATGTTTGAAGAAAGTAGCTCATCTGCTCCTGTCTTCAAGTGGGTGCAAAAGAGTCTGATTTCGTGGACAAGATCAGTCAGCGAATGGGATTTTTTGTGTGATTGAATGTGATGAGGGTATCATTGACGGTTGAAAATGAGGGTATTGACTGGTGCTAGGATGTCCGAGGCGTCCTCCACCCCGGACCTGACCCCGACGCCGCCCATGATGGAGCTGCTGGGCGTGAAGGGCGGGGATTGGCGGCACGGCGGCTCCGTGCGCCTCCTCCGTCGCTTCCATCACCACCGCCCACGAGGCCCGTACTCGTTCGCGATTGGTCGCTGGGCAGCCGCGCACCTTCCTCACCACCACCACCACGAGCATCATCATCTCGTCGATGGCCTCATCTTGGCGCAAACACAAGCACTCGCTGCCGCCGGATTCCTGCCAGATAAGGACATCCCGGTGGCGTCTGGGAATAAGCGGCGGCTGTCGTCGTCGGCGTCATCGTCGTCCTTGGGTGGTGTGGCGAATCCTTGCGAAGTGCGCGTGGAACTCAACGGCGACCCCGACCATCAGGGAAGTGGCGGCAGTGGGCTTCGTGAGTTGGAGTTGCGCCGCAGTTCGTATCACAGCCTCGGGGTCGCCTCGCCGGAGAGACTGGCGCCGCCGATGCATCCCAGGGCGAGCTCGTTCCACGCTGTCCGAGGTTAACGACAACAAACTTATTTCTCAAAAGTTCCACACAGGACCTCTTTTGCTGTCGTCGTTGTTGTTGTTGTTGTTGTTGCCTATTTTGTTACTTTTCGTATCACGAATTTTGAAAGCCGTGCTTCAGATGATGATGGGAGTTTTTTTTCGGCGGATGCCATGCTGTTTTTGTTTACTCTGTATATTTCTGCTTCCGTTATGAACGCTTTTTATGTTGCGCTTAATATGTTCGGTTGCCATTTTGTTTCGGCTTTTTTTTTCGATTCGAGTTCCTTCCATCACGAAAGAAAACGCTGGAAAAGCATTCCCTCTATCCTCCCACGAAAAAAAAAGCTTATACGAAGTTTGATCCACTGGAATTACTGGACGCCTCGGAAGAAAATCCTCGGAGCATTTTCTGTTTTTTCCTGTGGAAATAATAAAAATAAATCATTCTAGATCTCAAATATTTTATAATGAACCGACGGTGGATTCAAATAAATTGTCGATATTCCTACGAGTGGAGACTAGACAAATTTGCTGGAATGCTGGCCTGAAGATAAATTGCTCAGGAACAATTGCTGGGGAAATATTTATTTCCGAAAAAGTAAGGTATTTTCTAGCTGGTATTTCTCTTCAAACTTTTATGGCTTTGGGCTAACTTTAATTATTTGACGCTTTTTGGTATGTTTACGAATCCGAGGTAGGTGGAGTTTTTTTTTTTTTTTAGAAATGATTCGATAAAGATGCAATATTTGTCATTGAGTTTTGAGGAGATAGGTGTATGAATAAACCACTCTGAAAGGGATTTCAGCTGAGAAGGATGCAAAAGCTGAGTTTAGATGGTTGAGCTTTTTGGCTCGAAAATAATTTGAAGACCATTATGTGCAAAATTGTTCCTTCATTGTTTTACGGACAATTGATTTGCCCTATCAGGTGCATCGCGTTTCTTGTCTCTGCAACAGTTATCGCAATTTTTATTTCAATTGACTTTATTTGTAAAAAGAATTTATGTTTGCGTCGCATGGCATGAGCACTGTCGCAGTATTTTTTCAGCATTTAGTTCACTTGGTTGAATTGACCTTCTAATACGACTGTACTTGAATCATTCACTGTATATAGTTGGCATGAAAAAAAAGAAGAGATTATTGCATGCTGTAAACTGTATTCGTCGAACTCAGCTGCTTTATATGAAGGGTTCTTGCACGAAACACAGCTCGAAATACTTCTCGTGAACAAATGTATACGATATACTGCAGGAGGACCAACTGGGAAAGAAAGCCAAACAAATGGACGACTGCCGTATTCAGCTCCGTCGACACCGAAACCGTGGGACAAAATTGAGGGTTCTGCTGAAAATCTTGTTGGAAGAGTACGTTTCTTTCGACAAATTTTTTCTAACCCTTCTTTGACTACAGAATTGGGTGTTAGAATCAAAAAATAATAATTTGCTGGCTTTCAAAGCGTTGAGATGCCGGCACTTTATTCTGTTTATTGCGAAGCGTGCGAACTCCGTCGTCTTCCAAGGAGTATAACGGAGACGAGGACATTTGTGAAGCTAAATAAACATGTGGTGATGAATAATCGGGTGTTTTTTTTTGCAATTGTCACACAGGTGTTGGCACAGCAAGGCCTCGGCAAATACTGCGACCCCGACTTCGTGCGTGCAGCGTCGCGGGAAATGGCGGAGGCCATGGACATGACGGAGGAGGAGTTTGACCGGGCGGCGCACGATCTCATGGTCAGCATGGCGGACCAGTCGCAACAGCAGCAGCAGCAACAATCTCCATCACGCCCCAACAGCGGCAATGGCAGCATCACCGCCAATCTCAACCACCACACCCAGCACCACAACACCCTGTCTTCACCGGTCTCCTCCTCCTCGCCCAATTCATTCTCCCCGCTCGGCTCGGATCTGGAAGCGTCTCCTTTGCACAGCGGCGGCGTTTTCAGGTATACGAAGGGCCTCATTTTATTTTTCTGTTACTCATTAGTGTCATAGGAAAAGATGATTCGGCGAACAGATGTGCTGATGGTGGGATTGTGACATATGGGGAGATGTGACCAACTACGAAACGAGATCCTATACCTTCAATTGTTCTGCAGTCAACGCATTTTCGAGTTTTTTCTTTTAAACCCTTCCGTATAGCTGAGCCGTGATCATTTAATCATAAAATTTTCGCCACAGAAGCCTCAAAATCAATTAGAAGTTAACCAAATGAATATGGCCCAAGGCTGGCAATATTCCTTTTTTATAGATAATTTTTTTTCAACCTAGGATTAACTTGGGAGGAAAACTGAAAATATTCTTTTCTTCGCTTGGCTTATCCAGACATTTATTAACTGTCAAACGCATGGCTCAGTTGTGGTTTTGGCGGCCTTTGGTCAAGCCAAGTGTACTATAGCCTTAAAAATTTCAAGCACTGATGCGGAATTTTAAAAATCCTTTTGACGTCTCATGGATTAAAAGTTTTACTTGTGATGGAAAAAATATTTTTCTGATGTCTCATGGAATTTCTGGGTTTAAAAAAAAAAGTTTTTGCTGGACAACTCCTCTGGCGCTCAAGTCCCAATGTCCTGTTTTCTCGCCTTATATTTTGATTATTAAAACTATGTTTTGATTCTTTAACCGTATTACTGTATAGCGAACAATCGGGATTACCTTCAAGGCCCCTGAGGCGTGGAAGAGGTTCATTAGCTGCCGGGGGACGAGCACCAATTGCGTCGCCCGAAGACTCGACGGTTCGTTCGAACCCCTTTTTCCCCGCCTCTTCCGGCAGTGACACGGACACTGACCTCACATACCATTCAAGGACGACCAAGTTGTAACAGTCTGCCGATCTTTTTTTTTTTTTTTTGTATTGCCACGTGTGAAAATATTTATTGCCGAAGCCACAGCTGTTTCGCCCAAATCCCCGAATTTCCAGGATTCTATTGTCAAACCCCATTCCTGTTTTTTTGTTTTGTTGTTTGTCAAGAAAATTTTAGTCAATGTGGCGTGGAAATGCGCGATCATTTCTTAGGAATTTCTGTCACCAAACAATCTGTGATGAGACAGCTATTGTATTCTTCATAAACTTCCGAATTTTGATTTCTCCTTGATGTTTTTCTGAAAGACTTTAATATACGAGGGATGGTTCAAGAGTTATCTAAAGTAAATTAAAATGGAGGTTCCCGATTTTCAAGTCGCACTTCTCACAACGAAACTATTCTTTTTCTGAAGATTTCATTCAACTGCTGTTTGAATTGAGAAACTTTGTGTTCACGAAGTGTCATATTTCAACCTCTACATCGAGCATTATATAAATGTGAAGAAAGTGTTTCATGGAACGTTGTTGTCAGATCTGAAATTTTTCCTTGGAGATATTTTTCAATGATTTGAAGTATTTCCTTGTGCAGAAACTACCAAAAAAAAAAAAACAATCATGCAAATTATCCGGTAATCGTTGGTGAATTTCATTCTCGAACAGAGAGTTTATCATTTTAAACTTGTTGCCTTGCCTACCTTTCCTTAAAAATCGAAATATTGGTCACAGGAAACAATCATCAAATACTTTGAAAAACAATGATAATGGAATCGAAACTCTGATGAGACTCATGAACCAAGCCTCCCAACATAAATTTTAGCTAATTTATAGTCCGTTGGATAAGAAACTGGTTAACCAACACAGGGCACAAGTCATGGAACACATTACTGTAGCATTCATTTGGTAATTCAGTACATTATTTAATGTTAAATCGGAATTCTGTGCACTTCGGCCTCCATGAATTTATGCTGACTGAAACGAAGCGGACAATGTTGATTATCTCTTACCTCTGCCGCACAAACCGGAAGAACGCCATGAAGACTTTTGTTCTCGTCCACAGATGTCGTATGTAATGCCCCACTAGTTTTATCCCTTGCGGCGTCGTTTCTTATGCGTAAGAAATTATGATATCCCTCGAGGATTTTCATCCATAGGACTTGAGTGACTTGGCAGTTGTTCATATCGTTGAGTGAATCTCTAGAACATGTTTCGAATCAAGTGCCTTGCGAGACGAACCGTCAGAAGTCACTAGCCAGAACGTTTCTTGATTCAGGTCGAAATTTGTAGCCTTTCTTACGATTAAAAGAAAATTAGCGGTAGAAATCGAGATTATCGTTAGATTGAGAGAAGAATGTGAGAAAATATATTCGGGACGCAAGAGCATCGTTTAAACACGATGTCGCCAAAAAAATAGCGGTTCAGAAAATCTCTGATTTGAAGGAAAAGAATTTAGAAGCCGACTTTGACGGAAAGTGTCTTCTGAGTGCCTCAAACGTATTGTGATTGAGAGAACATATTACCATGGAATTTATTGAGCGTTAATCCTTGTTACCCGTCGGAGCCAAAAAAAAAATGTGGCTGTTTGTCCATTCAAATTTTCATCCCGAATGTATAGAATCAAGACATTCTCTTCCCGAGAACATTTTGCTCATTGCCCAACATTTCGATTCATTTTTCTTTAGTTGAATTGAGTAAGATTCATCAGAGCGAGAACTTGCAGTCGATCGATTTTTCAGAGATTTTGATGAGTCTAAGCTGAGGCATGGAGGAAAACCTTCGCGATTCCTGTTCTTGTCAGAAAGTTTCTTTATTTTAGCACAAATGAAGAAACAAATGACAAATGATTGGAATTTTTCTTTTGGTTGATTTTTTTCCCCCTATTGGGAAGTTTCACACTTCACACAGGAAACGTTTTCCCTGAAAATCGCTTGTTGAGTCTTCGAGGCTGTTCCGAGCAGGACGAGTTGTTTCTTCTTGATTTTCCGCGTTTGCTGCGATGAGGAAATAAATAAATGGAATCGAAGATCGGAAGTAAACGTTTTTGTTTCGTCTTTTTTTTTTTTTTGTGTGAGGCGTATCTGAGAAAAGCGAGGGGGGAAAAGTTGGCGAAGTACGTGTTTTCTATTGTTCAGATTTATATGCGAACTTGGGCGCGGAAAAGAAAGCGTGATGAAGCCATGAGTGTCGATGCCTTCAAAAAATGGCGAATAAAATTTTCCCTGGTCAATTGCATTCATCATTTATTCTACCGATATACAATGGTGTCTCCATACAGTGATGGATTTGATCCGTTCCAACGAGCAGGCGTTCATATACAAAGATTAGATTGGTCGTATTATAGAAAGTTATGTACAGAATTACAATTAAACTTCATCAAACCCACACAAATTCAAGGAGCTGCGTACGATAGGCCCTTGAATGGGAAACTTAATTTATTCCTGAAATCCTGAGAAAGGTTCATATACAGTACAGTAATGTACTGTACAAGTACTTTCGCTTGTTTGTTTCAAAATCATGATTCTTATCAATTGTTGCAAAAATATGTATTTGTTCCGCAAACAAATACTGTCTAAAAATGATTGATTTCTTTTTTAAAGTTTTTAGTTTCAAGCCGCAGTTCTGTACGCTGGTCTTTTTTTTCAACTTCTGAGTTATTTCGGAACAAGCTGAACGCCTTGTGTTGAGACCTGAAATTCCCTCTATAACGCCTCATTAAGTGAAGTTAAAGTGGAAATCATACAAACTCATGCAAATCATTTTACATTGCACCCAACTCGTTGAAATTTGAATAATCAAATTTCAACGCGTGAATCAGTTTCGACTCACGCGTATTAATGAAAATCAGATCTCAAATGGTTATCTCCAGGTACCGCACATTCATTATTTTAAAATGTAATATGAAGAATGTCTAAAATTTCCTCAATTGTTCAACAGATACACAAACAGTTTTCATTTTGTACTGTACCAATAACAAGTGGAACCGTCCATCCTTCGATCGAAAGCACAGCAAGTTAACCCCACCGCTGCAATAAATAACAACATATGCAATCAACATCAATAAATTACACTCAGAAAAATATAAACTCGCAATGAGCAGCAACAGATACGGAAAAGGAAAAGAACTGGGTCATGAAAGTAAAAACCTAGAAAACAAGAATTAGGAGCTTGAAGTCGAAAACAATGCGACCTCGCGGGGAAACAATGCGGAAGAAAAGCGGTCAACTCGGCGGCAGACCGTAAGTGAAATTTCTCGTTCCTTCCACACAACAAGAAAGAAAAAAAAAAAAAAGGTGAGCTTTATGTTGGAAGCTTTTCAAAGTGAAAAGATGATCCCACAAGCAGGTAGTCCATTGGGGTCCACTAGGACCAAAGTCCGGCCAATTGAGCTGACGTCTCGCGACGGTGACACCGACACCGTCGTCGACGGCACCAGGAATGACCCGCTGCCACGCACGAACCCGTCGGCTCCGAGGGTTCCCTGAAGTGACCTCGTGATGATCCCGCCTTCGAAAACCTAGATACAATTTTTAAATCAAACTATTTCAAGCACCTGAAAATCGTGATGTTTCAACTTCTGCAGCTGGTTACGCGCAGTTGGCGGAAGAAGATGAGCTAAACTTGAAAATTAAATTTAAATTTCCGATATTTTGAAACAACAAGCTCAAGTTTTGAAACGTCACCTTTTCAATAAAAAGAAAGAATGAATCCACTTTTACTATTCGTAGTGCATTCACAAAAATTGTCATCTCAGAATCTCTGATCTTTGGTATCATACCGAGGATTAGAACACTGAGTTAAATGGATGGGTTCATGTTCATCGATTCAAACGTTACTCGTCAAATTTTCGATTCTTACTTTCCATGAATATGAATTTGATAAATCGCTTAAAGTCGTTATTTTGAGTTCAACTGAACGCTTTCAAAAATGTGGCAAATCTGTTCATGTCATAGGACTTCGCAATTCTCTGAGCACGAAACATTTGCATTTACGCGTTTTATTCAGGGCTCCACGGAGCCCTAAGAGCTCCTCGTAAACTTTTCACGGGATTTGCCGATGCAAAAAAAAAAAAAAATTCAAGTGGCCTAAAGTTTGACATGAACATATGAAGAGTAAAAGAAAAGGGCAAAAATTCATGTGTTCGTATTTCAAGGCATGACGGATATTTTCGAAATATTGTCATTCTTAACCCTGAAAATATCCATTGTATTCGCAAGGCATACGTTAGTAACCTAAAAGTGTCGTGAATACAGTATATTCGAAAAATATCCATACAGGGATTTAAAGGGCCCGAATTTTCTTTTCAAACCGAGGGCTCGGGAAAGAAATATACTGTTCAGTACTTTGAAAATGAATTTTCATGCGAAAAAAGGTTATGATTTAAATGTTATTGTTAGTTGCGCTTCGCAACGTTCAAATACGTTCACATATTTCCAGATATTGTACAATCTAAATATTCAAGGAATGGCCAAATACTTCCGTCTGATATAATGACTGCAAACTCACCCCGTAAGGATTAAACAGTGCTGGTGAATTAGTCACTGCACAGTCCTGGGTTGCTCGTACTTGTAACTGGTACATGCCGGCTTGGAACCCGTTGGCAGCAGACAAGGAAAACGCCGCAGCCACAACCAAATATTCTGGTTTTGCCAGAAGTTTCAACTTTTTCTTGTCTCTTTCCAAAAACTCGACATTGCCAACGACTGGTCCGACACCTCGGGCTTGCAGACGCGCCGACGCCACCGACGGCAACTTCAACATCTTCCTCAAAACTGAATCTGTTGTTCCAAAAAGCATATATCCATGAATAAATTAATAAAGCATCCCTTCAATTGCACCTCACCAATGAAAAACGATTTCGCGAAATTTCGCAAGATTTATGCAATTGTTTACTTCGATAGATAAATGCTCAATTTTCGTTCGAGGAATACCAGTTGAAACCATTGGGTGACAGACACGAACCCCGTTGTTTTGCTTGAGGAAAGTCTAATAAAATTTGCGACAAGTACAGCAAGACCCCGAATAGTGGATATACCCTGACATACGGACAATTCGACTTAAGGACACTGAAAATTGAAAAAATCGACCGCCGACATCAAAAGACAGTGACTCGAGATACGGGAACTTTTTCAAGATTTCTCAATAGAATTTTGAAATGAAATTTTTTGAAGTTTTTGCGGTTCTGGAAGAAATTGAGCTATTTACATTAAAAAAAATTTTTAATTTACCTAGCATAAAACCAGGCTAATTTTGTGCTCAGTGTTGCAAGACTTGCTCTTGCTTTTTGCTTCTTGAGCTCATTCTGATGCCAAAATATCAGATCCTGTGTGATTTTTTCCTGTGCATTGAAGTTCAAAACAATTGCTTAATTTTATATTTTGGAGGAATTTTTCTCAAATTTTCATCTAACGGAGAACCGATCAAAAAATATTTGCATCAAATTCTAAGGGAAAATAAAAAGTTCCAACATGCGGATTTTCCGACTTAGCGACAAGGTCCATGCACCAATTACGTCCGCATCTCGGGGTCTCACTGTAATTAATTTTCAAAAATCGCATCATTTCCTGTCCTCAAGTATCGCACTTTATCTCGAATGCCTGCTGTTTTTATCCCAGAATGAAACAACATACGAAAGTCGACCAACAAAAAAAAGAAGATGCACTCTCTTGATCTTTTTCACTTCTCCGAATGTCAAAAATATTTCAAGAAAATCTCGAAACAATAGTTGCAAGTTCTAACCTTTGTTCTGAACCTCAGTAAAGAGGGCCTGGAATGGATTGAATGGGCTGTAAGGACTCAGAAAACCCCCCAGGAATCGGGCACTGCTTTCTTTGTCGCCGACAAGTTCCCCGGTTTCTCCGACGAAGTTTCCGGGTTCATCCGTCGTCGTCGCAAACTCATCAATTACCGACACTTCCGTCGATGGTTTCTTAGTCTTCCGCACAAGGTGAAGTGCTAATGGATCTTCGACCTTGTTTGGACTCTCATCAGGTGCATTAATTATTGCTTCAGTCGCTGCTGCTTGGGGCACTTTATCTTGGGTCTCTGATGCGGGTTCTTCTGGGGCGGGTTCTTCAACAGGTTTGGCCTGGTTGCGTCTGTTGCGCAGAGGAGGGAACATGTTAATGACGTCCAGAACTCTTCTGGTGAAGTTTACCAATACAGTGGCTAATCTATGTCCGAAAATGGGCTGCTGTCTGCTGGTGAGCATTTTTCGATCCTGACTTGGGTAATTTGAGATAAAAGGAACGTCATGTGAAGATATTGGGTCGTGAAGAGCATCGACTACACGATTTGTGGATCTTTGATGATTGATCGTCTTTGGCTGGAAAAATCCGAAGACTGGGTTTCCGTCAATGATATTTGGGCTCCTCTTACTGATCACATTGGCTGATGACTGAGGGGATATTACACAAACGATCAGCAGAATTTCCAGCATCAGGATCAATGCAAATGATAGACTCGCTGATACTGTATTGTTCTTCATGGTTTAATCACCGGGAAACGTTTCTTCGCGAAAATAATCTGAACCTGAAAAATAAAAGGCTTATTAGGTGATGATTCTGCGTTAATACAATTCTTTCAAAAATCTCTAAAGAAAACGAAAGCTGAGAATTTCAATGGCAACCACCAAAAACGGGGTATTTTTTTAGCGAAGATTTCCGGAAATACTCTCGAAAATCGAAAGCAGATACTGTATAATAAAGTCCGAAATCAAAAATGAGAGGATGAGAAACATAAATTCGAGGAATACTTTCGACAACCACTTATTGGAGGACTATTTTCTTCCTATTTAATATTTTTGAAAGCCACGTTAAAATGTTTGTGAAAAAATTCCAACGAAAATGCATTGGAAAATGAGAAACACATACTGTACTGTACTTTTGACGATCCCAGCTTCATTCAATTTAAGTTTCTAATACAGTAACTATAGAACAAAACGCGAAAAAGAAATTGAATGGAAACTCTTTTAAACAGGTTTTCATCCCGTGTTTGGACGGATTTCATGAGAAGCTTATTTCACGAAACTCGCTCAAAAATTAAGGATACAATGCACACACAATGCACCTGAGTTTCTTTTCGTTTTTTTTTTCTTTCAGGAACTAGAATCATTCGTTAGCACGAGGGGAAAAAAGGGGGGAAGACCGCCAGCACTCGACCATCGTCGCCTCGTAATAAACTGGCGTCCCTTTTCGCCGCCGCCGACGACAGCACTCCCTGGCGACACGG